TCAAGTGCCACTTAAAATGCAAAATCCACCGTCGTTTCGGCTAATTTCAGCTTTCAGAGACCAATAAAGTCGGGCCGTCGCGGCGCAGTCTCTCTCGTCAACCGCGCGCGCCCCGGCCGGCAGCAGTCGCGGCTTCGTTTATACCTCGTGGCCACTCGCCGCTGGTAGATACAGGGTGTTCTGGAAGGGACACTGGATAAAAAACACATTGGATCTCGAGTCCAGACTCTTGAAAACATCGACAAGAAAAATTCTCTTGATTCAATCGGATTTTTGCTTGAATCAAAAGGAAATCCGCTTAAATTAAGAGGCTTGGTTCTTGATTTAAGCTAGATTCTGATTGAATCAAGAGGACTTTTTCTTGTCAATGTTTTTAAGAGACTGGACACTAGATCCAACGTGTTTTTTTTCCAGTGGAGGTCATAGACGGAGTGATACTGGATTTTTAATGTTTCGTTTTTGGCCCTGCTCTAGAGAAAAAATGAATCCCATACGCCGTTTCTGTTACGAAAGAACGTAAACTCCATGTCCATGTCGCCAAATTTTCCCGCATAAACTGCACTTTTAACAATGAATTTTGGTAATTTCTAACTGGAATTTTTACTGATTTCTCCTCCGATCTCACGCTAAAATTAGACAATTTTCCAACAAAACTTACGCAGGTGCATTCTTATAAAAAAAATTGAATAGTCTGTGTCAATTTTGCAACCTTGGAATGGATTTACCGACTGGGAAACGGCGATGAAGTCCTCTGCCATTTGGAAAAATTTACCAACTTTGAAAGTAGCAAACCATGGTAAAATAACATGAAACGTCTACCCATAGAGATAGAAAGGAGGTGGTGGCAGTTTTTGGTTTTTTTATACGGTGACGTACAGGGATACAGTGTGGGTTGAATATTCCTGCAAAATACGAAAATTTGGGGTGTAAAAAATGAACCGTGATGTCCGTTGTTTTGATGTAATTTAATACAAAATACCGTGTTAAGTTTACAATATTAGGAACTACGATATCCGGCTCAATTCAGAAACAAATTGTATACCATTAATTTTCCTATACGCATAGGTGTTTTTACCGATGAGCCAGACATTGCAGTTCCTTATCGCAAAATGCAGACCAACTGCATGCATCGAACTTTGGTTCACATATGGAGAGTCAAATTTTTTGTTCTCAGAAACTGAATTTCAGTCACTATAACCGGAATATCACCGGCTCTCAGAATAGCAAACGTTGGTACCTGAACCGAATTTGAAACTGAAGACAGTAAACCTCGGTTACCTGTATTGAAAACTTTCGGCGAGTCAGACGTAAACATTAGCATTAGTTTCAAGGCACCCGGTTGGAACACCATTGGTGCGCGTAATTGTGACACCCAAGGAGGACCAACACCTCCCCCGCCTTGTTGCCAGATCTCACAAGAATCAACGAAAACAACATTTACCTTTTGGCAGTCAGCCCCAAAAGTAACGCAATAAAACATACTAGATTCCTGCACTGAAAACACATTCTCTGAAATGATTCTTTGCCATTTAAATATCAGGTCAGGATGATTTTTGGCCAATACATTTCGCCAAATTTTGCAATTTCGCGAAGTTCGGCAACCTCTGAGGCGTTCCTGGGTTGATTAAGACGTTCTTAGGTAAAGGTCACCGCGTCACGGGTTGCGCCCCAACAATCGCTCAATTTCTCGTTCAATACCGCTTATCGTGTACACCACCATAATCAGCCGGCGATTATTGTAATACAGTCAACATAAGGTGAAGTTATGATCGTTAACATTCCTTAATTACTATCAAGTTGACCGTTTTCTTGCGCAAAGTAACCGAAAGGGGTCAAAGGGTTACTAGGGCCCCCGTAAATGGGTCACTCGAATTGATGGACTCGAGTGAATCGTGTCAGTTTCTGTTCTTATTTTTTTCGGCAAAAAAATGTATTATTTACTTTTATTTTGGGTGTTCCAATAGTCAGGTCAAGACTATCGTATAAGAGAGATTATTAACAACGAAGTGTCCTTTTTCGATGGCTTTTCGATTTTAAACGTTATGAGACTTGGATCCAAAAATGGCAATCTGCGCAAAGAGACGTGTCTTAAAATTTATGAAACTGAGGTTTTGCTCATCGTTAACTGGAATATATATATATACACATACACACAAACAAACAAACTTTACGGGCTACATAGACAAACCGTCCGTTCCGGGTGCTGGAGCCGTAGCTTCGATTGCTCCGAATGCTACGCCCGGAACTTTTGGCCTCCAAGCCGGGAACGCGGACGGTATGTCTATTATAGCCCGGAAGCACGACTTCCACGGCCGGAGTTTTTTTCCAGTGGTTTTATCACTGTGAAACGTGAACATTATTCAAAATCATATTTTAAGATGTGTTTAATTACAAGTTTATCTTCATAGACGGAGCATGCCCATCGAAAGATCCAATGAGGTTTATGTTGCTTGTACTATCGTGATTTTTACTCAAATCACATGGATTGCGTTTTGCAAAAAGGAACCACGAGCATTGCAATGATGCTAAGATTGTGCAACTTCATCTTTTGCAATAAAATTGCGGAAATCGTGAAAAACTATGAAATTTAGATGGTAATTTTTGTCTTAAATTTACAGTTTTTAGCGAGTAAAATAGAAACTATATTGATGGATAATCGGGTTTTTCCTCCAAGACAAAAGAAGTTGCACAATCTTAGCAACATTGCAATGCTAGTGGTTCCTTTTTGCAAAATGCAATCCACATATTGAACGTATTTTCGTCAAGAAGGCCAAATAGATCTTCTTCGGGGCACTGCTAGGTATATTTAAGGGGGCTATGGCCCTTTGGCCCCCATGAAAAGTGAATTTGAGCCACGTTATCTCTCACTGGGCCCGTATGGCGAGTCCAATAATATATCTCTGCTGTGGAAACATGGGTCTTCACGCTTGTTGCGCGGTAGAAAACACCTGTTTACACGGGTTTCGGAATAACGGTTGTCCGGTTCCGGCGGTGTCGGGGCGCCTCGCTGCGTGGTCTACCGAAAATCTTCGCGTGTCCGAGCGTCCGCGCCCCGCCAAGCGCGCAAGGAACCGCTAGGCGCCCGTCGCCGCTTATCGCCAGATAATCCAAACGCAAATCGTCGCTTTTTAGACGAAAGAACGTAACTACATTCCAGTGTTGCAACATTTCCACCCGCAATGGTATAGTTGCGTCGGGAGACCGTCGGAAATTCCTGGAGATCTCGGTGAGCCTTCTTCAGATTAGACATTAATATCCGCAAAATTTTGGATAGGATTTGCTGCACTGTCATATTTGTGTGAAAAATTCAATTTTTGTGGCAATTTTGCGATCTAGGGACGGAATTTCGCTCCTACATTGGGAGAAATACCAAGTATCCTTAATTGCAGCTTTGCCGCATCAAATAAAAACGCCGTAGGAATAGGTAAATGGTACCAAATTTCTTCTAAAAATGCTTAAATTTGAGAAAAGCACGTCAGGATGATTACACATTTGTATAATTTTTCTTGCAATTGTATACTTTTTTTAACATAAATTTTATAACTATAATACGTATGTCTACTTAGATATTAGCTAGAAAAATTGGGGCTGTGCTGTAGTGGAAGAAGAGGAAGTTATAGATCATGGAGGAGGAAAGTTATGAATTTTTCCCCTGAAATTTATAGATACATCATATTGCATTGCAAACAAATTTTTTTGAAAAATTGGAAGAAAACTCAAGTTTTTCTATTGATTCGTATTTCATCCAAGGAAAAACGCCGTTGGTACAGTCAAATGGTGCCAAATTTCTCCCAAAATGCTTAAATTTGAGAAAATTACGTCAGGATAAATACACATTTCTATAATTTTTCTTGCAATTGTATTCTTTTTTTAAACATAAATTGTAGCCCTTTAATGCGTGTCCAACAAGATATTAACTGGGCAGACTGTGCCTGTGCTTTAGTGAAAGAAGAAGAAATTTGGCAACGTCTAGATACTCATACGACTTTTTTCCCTTAAACGCAGCAGAGTTGCGGGTCTCGGGTGTCGTGCGAGGTGTCGGCCGATTAATCAAACAAATATTCGATCAAAGCTAAGTCTCNGGGGGGGGGGGGGGGGGGGGGGGGGGGGCGAAGTCCCGAAAGAGCGTGTGAAACAATCGACAGGGGCCGGTGGCTGCGGCGGCTGTGCGGCGGAAATGATAAATTCGGCCGCGCGGACGAGGATGAGGATGAGACGGCGATAAATCTCATCCGTCCGGATCCGATCCCGGGCGCTGCAACCGTGCTCACCTACATTCCTCCGCGGCTGCCGGTTGCCGGATGTGAAGTTCCCGCCAAAATAAGAGAGGAATTGATAAAATTGATAAATCAACGTTCCCCGGTATGTAGTTATCGATCTTTTGGGAGTCCCAGTAAATTTTCCGTTTATGGGAGAAAAAAGTATGATATAATTTCAACTGTATTCTTGGCTGATGTTGCTGCCGGTCAGGAGGTGTGGTTCCGCCCCTCAAAGGTATGGTTGACAGCAGGGTTGTACTTGTTAAATGGAAAATATGATTAATTAGAAATTTCCGTGAAATTTTTCATGAAATTTCACCAAGTTTTGAAAAAAATGAAACATATTTGCAGGGTCTGGGTATGCAACCCGCACCAAAATAAAAACACCATAATGCAAAAACCATTTCCTTTTCATTTTTTCCTGAAGCGCGTCATCGCTTTATTGCGATCGCCGAGAGCCCAGTCACTCGATACGTGTTTTCGAGTCCCATTGCTCACTGGGTTATTTTGAATCCGTTTTTGTGGTGGAAACATACATCATTTTGTAATGGAAAAGCATAAGGAATTTGGACAGACATCCAAGCAAACTTGTCATTCTGTAAAAGCATCGGAAACTCTAGATACTGTTATCATGTTCACAGGACTTACTTTCTGGGGGAAAAAATATATTTTTGTATGTGTTTTATGCCTGAATCTTTAATATCTCATTTCTAACGTTTTGTTGTTTTTCTTTTGTTTCAGGTGAGTGGTCACTGAATTCCAAGGTTCCATTTACAACGTACCATGAGAAGTATTATCTGAGTTTTCTCATTCTCTTTCTGAGGAGGGAATCCTCAAGGTAAGTGAAACGAAGGTATGCTCGTCCCGACCCTTTCGGCCAAAACTCGGGTTTCGGCTCTCGCCGGCAGAGCTGTGGCGCGCGATTTGAATGTCAACATTTTTGCATCCTGGCCGAAAACAAACATGGCAGCTGCTCTGCTGTGAGGTCGGTGTCTCGACGTAAACAAACATTGTATGAAAACTGAAAAGCTTTTGTGTTATTTATCAAAATTGATTTCTCCTCTCTTCTGATTTCTTTTTGTTTCTGTTCTACCCTTATTCGCGAACATCTCGAATTTCATTTCAAGTTTAATTCGGCTTCTATTACGTTTAACTCTCCTATAAATCGCTCTGTTCCGAAGTGCAAGTGAGTGATACCTCAAAGATTGTTGCCTCTGTCTACCCGGCAATAACATCCAAGAATCATTTTGTTCTAAATTATTCTTCGCGTATTTTACTTCGGGATACAGATTTATTGTCACTCAAGATCGGAAATAATGATTAGCTCCAATATTTTTGAATATCAGTCAGTATCGAATATTTCTGTCAAAGAAGTCCAGGATGTAATCAGCAGTCGAGAAACACCCTGGGACAANCAAATTTGGGCACGGATATGCATCAACAAGTATGCTCCAAAGATTTATGAATCCTGTTGTGAGTTATAATTGATGCAGGAGTATTTATGGTAAAAGTTGGCCGTCTGTAAGAGCAGTTATTGGTCGGCAAATCGAGAACTGTACCACAGGCAAATACTAATGATGAAAATGTTTGCGAGGGTGTCATTATGACACCAATATCCATATCTATTCGGCAAGTTTAGAGACTCTTCTTAGCATACTCTCGAATTAATGATATCCAATCTTTGGTAGTAATGCTGCATTTTTCAATTATTCCCGTTGAAGAAATACTTTGCAAATGACAACAAAGTGAAGACAATTCTTGTCCTTTAAGCACGTCAAAGCTGCGCAGCAGTAAATTCTCATAATCAATTGCAATAGTCTACACAACTTACCTTCTACAGCTTTTGTCCGATCAGCAAAAAACTCAAACCAAACTCGAACACACGGGAAATCATTCAGTCAAATCACATTTTCACAAGTTCACAAGGCACATTATTATTATTTCAATCTACAAGACGAGAAAAAAGAACAGAGAAATTTCCTTGGCAGAACTCTCAGAAGCCGGAATTGATTACACGCGGAAAACGGAAACACGAGAATGACGCGGCCGCCATGTTTGTTTTCGGCCAGGATGCAAAAATGTTGACATTCAAATCGCGCGCCACAGCTCTGCCGGCGAGAGCCGAAACCCGAGTTTTGGCCGAAAGGGTCGGGACGAGCATACCTTCGTTTCACTTACCTTGGGGAATCCTAGACAATTTTTCATTCCAAAAAAACTGAAAAAGTTCAGAAAATTTTTGCTAACGTAGTCAGAAATGTTTATCTCCTTTAATAAAGCTGGAAAACCTGGTTCGAAAAGCGAGCCTCCATCATCGAACTTCGATAAATTGGCCACGAGACAAGGTCTGAACCAGAGAAATAGCACAGCTTGTTTTCTTTTAAAAAAACAATTCATATTCAGGGGAAGGTCGGAAATGAACTCTTGAACGAAATATTAGGAAGTGTTTTTATCAGAGTTCGAATGAAAATTAGATTACCAAATGACGTAATTTTCATCGTAGACATTTCAACAAAAGTCAGACTTAACACACATCTGATTTAGGGGTTGTATTTCAATCATCTCGTCGTTTGATTTGGTCTCCTCGTGAAATGAAGAGCAAACATGTTCCGCAGTGCTTAAATTGGACTACATTGGACAACATTGGGTGTTTAATTTTACCACATTTTGCAATTGGGAACTACAATACATGGCTCAACCGTAAAAATACTTTTGTACATAGGGAAATTAATCGTACATACATTGTTTCTAAACTGAGCCAGAATGTATATTTCCTAACCACAAAATGCAGTCCAAGTCATATCTTATCCAGAGGCCCATTTTTGCAATCCTGTCGAAGACTTCTTCGGAGGGTCCACAGATCGAGAGGATCTGGCAATGCGCGAGGCATCGGGAATTACTCCTCGTTCGAAGGGCTAATCAGAAATTAAGGAAAGAGGATGAAACTAATTAAATTCGAAATGATAGACGAGGCCGCGGAAGAAGCGCGTGAAAGGAAAGCTGACATCATCGGCAGTCTCCGCATTCCCGGGGGGCTTTCTACGTAGGGGCCAGGGGGCGGGGGCCGGCCGCCGCAACGAAATGCAACGTGGTTACGGCCAGGAGCCCTTGTAGTATTTCAACTATGTTGGCGGAAGACTTTTGCCCAGCGTTTCTCAGTTCGAGGCTCACCTAAAACCACCTGCTTCCGGCTAATATCTACGGTCTGTGCACTGTGCACTACACTACCGTGCTAAGGAAAAACACCGTATGAGCCATCAGGCGCTGCCAACTTTCCCCCGACGAATCATGAATTTACAGGAAAATTTATGACGATTTTTCTTCCAATGTTACATTGGATTCCATTCGTAAAAAGTCTGAAAATTTGAAGGATAAATATATTCATAATTTTCCTGAAAAGTAAACATTTCATCAATGTAAATTTGGCAACTCTTGAATGTTCATACGGCGTTCTTCCTAAGCACGGCAGTACTGTGCAGCCACCTTGAAGCTGGTTACATGCTTTTGAAAAATGATTCAATATCTATAGCCTTTCTTTAATAAGAGGAAAAGGAAAACTGAGGGGCTCGGAGGACAAGGCATGTAAGTGCAGTTTTTGAGAAAAATCGAGGTAGCAATGATTTCAAGTAAAACTAATCTCAATGCATACTCGGTGAAAAATTCGCTCCCTAATTCCAATTTTTAAGTATCTAAAAAAGTCAGTTTGAACTTTCTTTCCGCCATAAGGATCCAAGCAATTTTAAACCTTCGATCACGGATTTCTCGAAGTAGCAAAAACTGCACTTATGCGCCTGGTCCACCAAGCCGCTCGAAAAAAAGCAACGTTGGATATTTTCTGATGTCACAATTTTGAATACAAATAATTTTCAAAGCCGTATATACCGCAGAACGCCCTAACTACCATTACCTTACTGTGACTTATGTCTCTCTCTCCCTTGATGTCTCAATTCTGGGAGTGAGTGTGGGTCGAAGTCTGCATGCACGGATCCGAGACACCCGTGAAGCGTGTTAACAGCCCCCCTCCGGAGGGGGCGGGGGGGCGGGGGGGACGCAGAGACCCCCACGAACGCCTCCTATCGCGCGGCGCCTTCAAACAAAAGACGGTACTCCTCACGTCGTGGAACGTTTGTCAATGGAACGAGCGTTTAGTAGCTGTTCCTCCGATTGTGAGCCACGGCGTCACGTCTGAATGGCGTATTAAATCGCTCTTACTCCGACTGTGAGTGACACCCGGCCACTTGACAGTAATTAGTCCTTCTTGAGGATTTATATTACCCGGCTGATTGTTCCTACGGTCTCGTCTGACCTGTGCGCCTCCATTCAGGTCTTTCGTCGTTTTTTGCGAAAGTTTTTACAGGGTTTTCATGTCCCAGTTCCCTGGTTTCCTTTACTTTTTCTTGCTTTTCCCCCACTATCCTATGCGTACAATTCCTAAGATGACTGAAGTGTCTCGAACTTAATTAGCGAAATCCCTTACATATTCTTCAAGGAGGTCGAGTAGATTTCGGGGGGCATGCGACTGGTCCCCGGCTCCAATTGTTTCGCCATGTTCGAAGTACCGGTATAGCTGAGGGTATAAAGCGTTTTATAAATGAATGGACTTGAACGGAATTAACCTAATCACATTAGACTTTGCCTAATTTTCTCTGACGTTATATTTTTGAAACACAAATGGACGTATTTCTATCAAACGGAACTAAACGCCAATTTGAGTTCCTTTTCAGGAATTTAGAATCCCGGATACCGCGTTCTGTCAAACGGATCTAAGCGCCAAAGAAAAGCATTGCAAGTATAGGACGGAATAAGCCGGACGTCCGATTCCGCCGCCAATCCAAGCCCCCCTCTACCTTCCTCACCCTATGGCGCTTAGGTCCGTTTGATAGAAATACGTACAAATACTAATTGACGCTGAAACTTGGCAAATTGTAAGTATATTCCTCATATTCAGGGTATATTCGTAGAACGTTTAAGGCGTTAACATCTTAATTTGCTGTTGCAAAAATAATGTATGAAAGACAATGTTGAACGAAAAAAGTAGAAACATTTTGCTATTAGGAACTAGAATTTTAGGCTGATCCATAAAAGAACCCATCTGCACGGGGAAACTTATGGCATTATGCCAGGGGTGCAGAATCTTCCAAACCTCCACATTTTCACGGCCCCGCCCGGCGGCTTTCCACATTTTTCTCATCAGTTCTCCAAAAAATGTTCCTCCAATTGGAAAAGAGGTGCGGCCTTTTTCCTCTATTTTCCGTTGACTTTGACTTTTGACCCTCTGAAATGTTTCCTCCTTCCACATTTTTGGCCAGAAATTGTAGTTCCTAATTGCAATATGCTGTCCAATTAGGCAACGTGAATTGCAGATAAATCCGCCCAAATAGCCCCTCCAAAAAACTACCCTTCCACACGAAAACACTGTAAAATAGGCGATTATCCGAGGAATCTGACAAGTTTCGATTCCCGGACGGATTTGAATCGGCGAATTCGCAAGGAGCGCGGTCACGGAGAGCGATGTGCGAATGCTGAGACGATCCCGGTAGCCGATCCGGAAGAGGAAGGGGGGGGGGGCATGCATTATACATAGAGTGGCAGGGTCAATTAGTTTTGACGTGCGGAATAGAGGCGCAGAACTGGAGTCCATGCTACGCCACGCCACGCTGCCCGGTAAATAGGTTAGGGAACGGACGAGGAGCAGTCAACTTATACGCGTCTAATTACCATATGGTACAGTAACACAGTTGAGGATCACGAATGACCTACAGAAGCACCTATGCCACCTATATCCGCCGTTGCCGTTGCATCATCGAATCCAGAAAAATCGAGTTTATTGGAATACGCAAGACAAGTTGACAGCTGACCAGACACATCGGCGGCCAAAGTGCGAAACCACGTATCTCCATTGTGGCGTTTCGAAATTTCCGGCCCTGCTTTTTTTTCAGGAGGAAAATTAGACAACTTTCCAGCTTGAATTTTGTACAGTATACATATTCTGCTGATCCACCAGAAAAATCAAGGAAGTTTTTAAGAAAGCACAATGTCCCATTTTCCAGAGAAAATCTATAGTAGAACAGGAG